AATCTCTCTCTTGGCCTGGAGCTGTAGCTCCCTCTCTCCGGCCAGTCTCCTCAGCCTCTCCTGCTCTGCCACAGCCTGTCTCTCTCTCTCCCTTCTCTCCTGGTACCCCCTCACCTCCTCTCTCACCTCCGCCTACACTCAAACATGGCAGACGTATTTACAGCATTTAACCTCCTACATACAAGACATGCACAATCACGGGACAGCATGCAACTCTATTTTCTATTACCTTCTCTCGCATCTCTACCCAACACTCACATAACATGGGATTTAATGTGCTATACGACACATGCAAAACTATTTGGGAAGCATGCTGTGGTGCTTTACACACCACGGCAAGCTCAAGAAACGGCTACTAGCAAATTCGTGTAAGAACTGGGCCCGGACTGGAAACTCATGTTTAGAGCACGTGCAGTTGCTCCTTTAAACCCTACATACATATTATTAACCCTCGGCGCGCATGCGCGAGGGTTACTGTAGTTGTCTTGTCTGTCTGTCTGTGTGTGTGTTACCGCTCTAGCTGCTTCAGCGTCGGTTTATATCCGCAAGCAACGATACACATGGGTTTCTCGTAGGCTTTTCTTGGATTTTGACTCGTGGATTTTCGAAAAAACCTTCCATTCCAAAGTTATGCCGTGAAAAAGCCAATATGCAAATAAGTTACAGCTCACCGCGAGCCGTTTGTGCACACTTTCGGGACCAACGAAACGCAGCAGCTACTCCAATGACAACTGGTCGGTGGAATGTTGCTTCAGACGCTAGCTACTGCTGCAAGCGGCCAAAGACAAGCTATGCTAGATGAGCCACCGACGGTAGGTCAAAGCAAGACGGCCTGCGTGTAAGCGCTCCGTTCAATGTAAGCGCCAACGTTGGATGAGTAAACGCACACGCATATATACTACAAATAGCCCAGCCCACCAATTAGCGGTACCGCGCATGCGCAGTTCGCCGAGGGTTTGCACTTTAGTTCTTTATGTGCAAGGATGCATAATGATCTTTGACATAATGGTCTATTCCATGCATCACCAAATCTGAAGGTATACAATAAAAGAAGACTTGGGTGAGTGTGTCTTACTTGTCTAATTGTTTCCTTCTCATGTTTCTTTGCTTTCGTTTCCTCTTCCTTGAGTCGAGCATTCTCTGCTTCTTGTCTCTTCTGCTCCTGCTGAACCTGATAATTGAAACATGTTGTGAGCATTCAGGTGTGACAAGAGCCCATAACAGTTTAACACTTAACCAGCCATGGCCGCATAATGCTGTGTCAAAAGCCTATAATGATGGTGGTTATCCAGGTGCTAATACTTGTACATGGTTCTCTGAAGATACCAATGGCATCAGTCACAGTCAGTGATGACTTTAGTACCGAACACAATGCACAAACAGCATTCACACTACTTCTCTATGTCAGGACCTTCCATGCCTGTAGTTTCTCCTTGTTGGTCTGTCTCTCTTGCTCTCTCTTCTCTCTCTCTCCCGTTGCCTCTTTCCTCCTGGACTCACTGTCTCCCTCTCTGACAGATCCTGCCTTCAACTGCTGTGAGCGGGCCAGCTGGACACATGACAAAACATGTTTATAGCATACTAGCTAAAATAACAATATCAGAGGAAAAAGAAAGAACCCTAACCACCCCACCCAAAATAATAGACTCATAGAAAAATATAAAAACTCTGAAACTTACGCAGTACGACGATGCAACCTAGATAGAAAAAACGTGCGATTACTCTAAATAACGCACAACATATACACGTGTAAAAAAAATAGAAATGTTAAAAATAGCAAAATAAATGTCACTAAAAATAATATCTATGCGAGACATGGCGACTGAGGAACGCTACAGCATGTGGTTCATTGCATGATGCCAATATGTGATTGTGTAGGTAAGCATGTTAACAGGTTGTAAAGAAGTGTAGACAAATGCAAGAGAAACTGTACACTACATGTGCAGTATGACATTTTCACCAGGACACCAACTGGCTATGCTTGGAATCTTAAAGTAAAGTTACCTGTTTGTTTTTCTTCCACTGCTGAATGGCCAGTCTTTTGGCCTCCAGTAGAGATGAGTACTCTGTGTACCAGGCAGAGTGTGCCCTCACCTCCGACTCTGTTCTGGTTGGTAGCTCTCGCAGTGCTGCCTCCACCAAGGCACTCTCATTCTGACAACACAGAATATAATGATGATGAATGAATACTGCTGAATGAACTTTGAAGGTTGTAGCTACCACCATCAGATAGATACAGATTCTTAGGCTTTCTCTATCTGTGACAACTTCTTGCTGAAAGTTGCCTATGGTCTCAGTACATGAATGTCCTAGACTTGCAAGCAATCATGCACACTGTTTTTATCTCTTGCTGCTTTTGCTGCAATTACGTCGTAAACATGTTGCTGCAATGTATGAACACAATTGCTGGGGCAGGCAGTTGCCGTGTACTAATAAGTCCCACTATATCCCACTGACTGAGTGTTTGGTCCTGAGATGAGGAAGTGTTGTGGTCGTAGTCATCCCAGCCACCCCTCACATCCCCCGTCTGCCGCAGAAACCTCTGCAACACAATTAGTGAGAAGAAGTCGTCTATTTGTCGAACAGATTTGCAGAAAGACTTTTTACATCCGAAAATTTGATGCACTTGACCACAACACTTGACACACTATATAACCATTATTGGTTACCTCTAGTTCCAACATGGCAGAGGCAGAGCAGCCTCCCCCTCTCTCTCTCCCTCTCTCCCCGCCACTGCAGTAGTACCACTGGCAGTGGTGACCTGGACTCCACGGGACCCGAGTAGTGGTGGTGCTGGTAGCCCAGGCCTCCATCCTCCTCTGGAAGCTATCACCTCCTGAGACACTTTCTCTCTTCTACCAGTCAGCTTCTCATAGCTGTAGACATAGTACATAGCACTAACGATCAGATGACTCTCTACTCACGTAGATCAAGCCAATCTATGTCATTCCTCATAGTGTGTACTAAGCACATTTTACGAACGAACTAGAAGCAAAACATGGCTACTGGATAGTAGTTCAATACACAGTACACGTTACAAGGGACAAGGCTCGAGGGGTAGTACACCGGAGACACTATATCTGATAAACCATGTATATAAGAGAATGGTGTCAAAAGAGACCGCCTGTCTTCACAGAAGCCTTCGATGGCTACATGCCTGCATACATGCAATATAGGTCGATCATGTAGATGTCATCAACAAGGTTATAGCAGGCAAGGCAGACCAAGTAACCAGTAATGTGGATGTGTGTGAGCACGCAGAAGGCAATGAGTCTCACACTTCTCTCTGTCTGTCGTTGAAGCGCAGTATGGAGGCTCGGTTCCTTTTCCTCGCAGTACCTCTTTCAGCATTTCAGCTCTCCAGGACGTGCAGTACACAATAGGACATAAATGAAGTAATATCGTGTTTAGGGTAAGTCTTTCAGGTTAAGATAAACAATGGGTGTATATAGAAGAAAAGTCTGGGAAACTGGGAAGGAATGCTGTGAGCACTGGCAGTTGAGGCATCTAGGAGATTAGTCTCGCGCCCCAGACCCTCACGTGCTCCCCGCGCGAAAGAGGATCTCGTATTATAAGGTCTTGATTCTTGGTTGTGCTGAATCAGCATGCAGATGTGTACGTAAATTGCATACAACCTGTCAGTCATGTGATTACCTGGTCAGCACCCCCCATCCATTTTGCGCTGCGCATGTGCAGAACCGGTGGGCATTGCAGATCGCCTTCATGTCACATGATAGTTTGAAATCTAGCAATCTGATTGGGTTACCCGTTTTCCGAACATGCTGACTCAGCACAACCAAGAAATCGGACCTTATATACCAGACCCTCTTTCGCGTGGGAGCATAGCACTGTTAGCTCCACCCAGTGCTTTGGGGGCGTGGTCTATGGCCTTATATATTGTGTATTCTGGATACCATATACGTAAGTAGTAAGCAAAAGCCAGCCTGAGAACTCACAGGTGGGGCCAGGTCTCATGTCTTCCAGCATCTTCTGAAACCTCTGCACGTTGGCCCTGATCCGGGAGATCTGCTGACTCAGCTCTTTCTCTGAACAATAGACACAGACAGAGAGGTGAAGGACACACACTATGCGCAGAGACAGCACTGTTGGATTTACATGTGTTACATGTTACGGACTAAAGTGTGTGCATAATGATGCACATTACATATATAGGGAAGAAACATGACCATAGCACGACAGTATATCTGCTTATTATTTGACTCCTAGACATGTTTCTTGGCTGTCACAACAGCACACGAGAATACTCACATGTAGTTAACTCTGTTTTGAAGTGACACATGCTAGCTGGCTACATCTGATTAAACCCTCAATTTCAAGCTTTTCATTTTTCATACAAGAACACCCTTTCAGATATAATCTGCAGTTGAATGGCCCAAGTGAGGTTGCCTCATCCAAACTGTTCCTTTGGAAAGATAAAGATGTCCTCATTTCAGGGTTGTCCTTAGAGAGGGGTTCAACTGTATCTCTATCTACTAGACCAGAGATACTTACTCTCAGTTTTCCGGTCTTGGTTTAGTTTGAGCTCAGTCTCCTCCAGACTGCAGAACACCTTTCTGAACTCGTGTCTCCTGTTGTATAGCTGAGAATTCCTCTCTCGCTCCAGAGACACCGCTCTGGGAGGGGGTCAGAAACAGGCTACCACTCATCATTAATGTTATACACCCTCTGGTTCTAAGATTATGTGCACAGAGTAGGTGTTCGTGGTGCGCTCTAATTAGAACCTTTGCTCCAACTGGGACAGTTTCTCTAGTGTGCTTCGTCCAGATGCTCTACCAGCATTGGGAATGGTGACCGCAGTCGAGTCTGACTGGATTTCATGACCAGACATGATGGAAGGTCTCTTAGAAGAGTGCTAGGGAGTCGTTTTAGTTCTGCAAGTGGGGGCGATCTAGCTATGACGTAATTTGTGTATCAGCTGCGCATGAATTCCATGGTGACCATCGACCAATCAGATTTGAGGACGGATGAATTTTGAATTTCGTCCTCGAATCGCCAGCAGCAAAAACGGGCAGGTGCCACTGAGCCGGTGGACATTTCTCTTTTTGCTCCTGTTTGAAGTGGACGAGAAGACCCGAAGAATGGCTCTCAGAGCGTTTCATGTAAGCAGAACGGAGGGCGACGTGAAACCAAGCGGCGGGTGAAAGTGTTTTATCTGTTTTCCCGCCCTCTTGTCCCCCTCTCTCCACAGACCAGTGCGGACGAGAACGTGTCCCACATACCGCGCGGCAAGGCTGCTCTGACCAGGATGGACATCAAACCGCGGACAGCTCTAGGGACCATCGGAGGAAACAGTCTCCGCGACAGACACGCACCTTCCGGAAAAGTGAGCTACAAAACAAGAGTAGCTGACTCGACTGAAGGCTGGTAGAAACACGGGCCTTCAGTAGCTGATTCTTGTTCTATCTTTGCGTTTCTTCTTTGCTTTTCCCTTACACTTCAAGTGTTCAATCTTAGCATTGTGTATATTCCCTGTACTGCTCCCAGGGTGGTGTTACAAAGACAGCATTTGCAGTCCCAGCCCAGATCACGAGGGTCAAGACCGATGCTTTCACTACGCGGCCACCCTCCCAGCTCACCACCAGTACAACCACATCTGCCCTCCCTACTCACAACAGACAGCCCACTCCTGCCCACAAACCCACCCCTCCCCAGCAGGTGTGTGTGTGTGCTGTACGTAAACTGTGGGCTACAAGACAAGACAAGACACTTGGTGGCCACAATGCTTGGTGGTGGTATTGTATGGCATACTGTGGACATTCTACCCTGGTTTTATACAAGGCCCAAGTTGTATACCCTCCTATCCTAAGAATAAGGGGGAAGTGTCCACCAATTTTCACATGATAACTTGGTGTTTAGCCAACTAATATATGCAGCCACCAGGTATTGTTACCTGTCACAAAAAGCAATAGGACTATGAACAGACTCGGACTTCTTGCTCACTCCATACTGCACGCACGCACACAGGAAGATGAGTTCCCGGAGCCAGAGGTCATGGACATGGATGTAGGGCAGATTGCCTTGGCCCTCAGTAATAAGCTGGTGATTGAGGATATTGACGAGAGTGACAGGGACAACCCCCAGCTGTGTGCCGAGTATGTCAAGGAGATCTATGCCTACATGAGAGAGCTGGAGGTTAGTCACCAACTCTGGTTTGCCTGTTTGCTCGTGTGAATTTGTTGCTAGCTTCCTGGTCCAATTCACACCTAGCATTTCTGAGAAGTCTGAAGTGAAAAGGGTTTGAATTGACTATTCACAGTCAAAGAAGTGCTGATGTGCTTTGTGTAGGAGTGAACAAGTCCCTAGCTGAGCTTTCTGGGGTTTTCATTAGTCTTTGCACTTGGCCCTGTAGTGGAATAGTAGCTCTCCCTATCGGCATGCCCATTACATGAGGACGAACCGAGTGTTGTCAAAAGGGCTCCATGAGTGTTGTTTCGTGGTTTTTTTCTTCCTGTGTTGCAGATCAAGTACCAGGTGGACCCAGCCTACCTGTCCACACAGTCTCAGATCAACTCCAAGATGAGGGCCATCCTCATCGACTGGCTCATCCAGGTCCACCTCAGGTTCACCCTACTGCAGGAGACCCTCTACCTCACTGTCTCAATAATCGACAGATACCTACAGGTTAGAGGGATTGGGAGGGCACGAGGCACCGTGCTAGTTCCGTAGTATGACAGGTGTGAAGAAGAGTGTTTTTATCTTGCGGTACACCCCACAAACATGTTACTGTAACCTCAAGCTTCAGTATTGCAAAACCACAGTAGTGACTTGCACAAAATGTCGTTAGACTTTGGTTTGAACACAAGTGACAACGGTGACAGTACAATCAGTAGACAATGTGTTGACTTCAACTTACATATGCTATCATGTTGGATACAGTTCTCTCTTGTTACTTGTATAGTAGGGAACTAGGGAGGTGAAGCTTTCGCATTTGAACACATTTTATGTATACATTTTGTGGGTTGTTGATCCTGCCACAATTAAACTGGACGGCTCACTGACACTGCTCTTTCTCTAAGTTACCCGCTGTACGGTAGTGGAGTGTATGGTGGCTGATCTCACTTCATGATGTTTACAGGTGGAGCCATGTGACAAGTCGGATTTGCAGCTGGTGGGAGTGACGGCCATGCTCATTGCCAGCAAGTACGAGGAGATGTACGCACCACAGGTGGACGACTTTGTCTTCATAACGGACCGGACCTACAGCAGTGACCGCATCCGCAGCATGGAGAGACACATGCTCAATGCCCTGGACTACAGTTTCGGGAACCCTCTCTGTCTCCATTTCCTCCGGCGCTACTCCAGAGCTGGAAATGTGAGTAACAAGCCTCGCTTCTCTTGTTTGCACTACGTGTCACATCACACTTCCACCTTAAAAACAGAATACGCTATATGTAGTACAATCCCGTGTGCTTGCTTGGAATGGAAATTTAACACAAGCCTAAAGCCAACCAATTGTTTGTGACTTTTGTGTACATGTGGCTTTGTGTTATGTACATGTGAGTGTCTTGTTTGCTGCAGGCTGGTCCCGAGATGCACACGATGGCAAAGTTCCTCCTGGAGCTGTCCCTCACTGACTACCACTGTCTGAGGTTCCTGCCCTCCCAGCTGGCTGCCACTGCCCTCTACATCTCGTGCAAGATCTGCAGCGACGGAGAATGGGTGAGGAAAGAGCACAGGAAGCTTTTGTGCGATGCACGAGACTTTATATTCTGTCCGTCTGGTAGATGTACGTACTTCAGAGATGGTCCATTATTAGTACATCCTTCCCCTTGGATCTGGTCTCAATTATGAGCCTGAATTTGCTATGCTTTGCTCTTTGTAATAATACAGAGAGCTTCATATAAGTTTAAGACACATAGAAAGACTCATGGCATCACAAATATTGCGCTATGCACGTAGGTAATAGTTGCACTAGCGTCGGTGTAAGTAGTGTGTGTTGAATTATTAACTATTACTCTCTTTCCTGCAGACCCCCACTCTGCACCACTACAGCACGTACTCAGAGTCTCAGCTGTTGCCGTGTGCAGGGAGACTGACCTGGCTCGTATCCCACATGGCCACCTCAAAACAGCAGGCCGTCAGAAAGAAGTACTCGTCCAGCAAGTTCCTCAAAGTGGCCACCAACTCTGGACTCCACAGCAGGCCCATTCGAGAGCTGGCCGCAGCAGATTCAACCTCATAGAGAGCACCTGGTTCTCTCGCCCCCTGCCATGCACCCTCTACTGAGAATTAGCATCAAACTTTTCACATTGCACCATTTTGTATTCTCTGCCCTATTTTATTTTTGGTCTGATGTTCATAATCAAAGAATTGTGGAGTATGACTATGCACATGTGCGTGCGATGGTGTTTCGGAATTTTCCACTGCCTCAATAGAGATATAAGGAAGTGTGGCATGTAAAGACAATAGTGGTTGGTATAATTATTATTAACCCTTGGTGTGCATGTGCAGCGAGGGTTACGGTACTTGGTTGGTGTGTCTGTGTGTCTGTTAACGTTTTCTTCACTATAATAAGGCGCAACAAGATCGCCAAAAGTCTACACCAACAAGTTTGGCACTAATTTGCTTGATTTTAAAACTGCCAATTTTCGTAACTTCAGTGCTTTTCATTGCTAGTTATCTTCCAGTGTGTCTTGACTGTCAAATGAGGGGTTTTGGCTATAATAACACCCTTGTTTTCTGGTATATACGTGGCTGGCTGAAGTAAAAACAGTGAAAGCACTCTACAATGTGTATTTGGGATTATGAGTAAATATTATATACTACTTGGTGGACTGCCGATAACCATGTTGACAGTGGTAGTTCACCAAATATCAGTTAATTCCATAGCTCACACAGTGATAGTCACGAGATACGAGCACCACATTTTCTTCTGATATACAATCAGACATTTCATTTGGACAGTAGGCAGTTGTTTCACTGGGCATAGCACGATGGTCCCATTCAGATACAGGATTGCAGCCCTCGCCGTCCGAGCTGAATATTTTGTGCTGGTTTACATTCTCAGAGACTCGGTTACAGCACTTTCGGAGAGGGAAATGAAGATATAAACTGACTGTGAGAAGTGTTATAACATTGGATAGAATCAGAAGAGTGGCGTGTAGGATCCATAAGAACTGTGACTTTGGGCTCTGGTTGTACTTAGCCAAAACGGTAGCAGTGAGAAAGATTACTAACAACAGTAAAATTGCCGATTGTCCGACAAGGAGAAATATGACACTAGGTAGACTGGTGAGGATACGCTTCCCTATCATGGTGTTTTTGAACTTGATCCGCAATCCACAGAGCAATATGACTACCAACAGCTCTAATACCCAGCAAAACACAGCAGTTGAGGTATAAGGTAAAGTGGAGAGGTAAAAAGTACCAGTATTGTAGTACGGGGCTTTCTCAGAGCAGTTGAACACAGAGTGATGCTGGTAGTCGCACCAAAGCCCGTTGGATCCGTAATCAGGCGTATCAGCAAGAGCCAACGGTTCCCAGGAAGTCACTATTGCAGGAACCAGTATAATCACAGCGAAGATTGAAACTTCGATTGCAATCCGAGCACCTCTTTTCTTTCCAACAGCTAGCAACTGGTTCAGTTTGGGCCTGGGGCTTGATTCAATCACCGGCAGAGTTACGTGGAGGAGGAAGGAGAGTGCCCAAGACCAGTACGACATCGAAGCGAGACCCCCGGTGAAGTGAAGTGCCAGAGCCAACTCCAAGCAGGAACCGGAGCTGTTATTTGTGTCAGAACTTTCCAGGGATGTGTGAGAGTAATCGATCCCTCCCAGAGCAACAAACAGCACTGACGGCGGTGAATACGACGTATGCTATGAAGAGCCGTTTCGATAGCGTTTCCCAGGCCTTCCGGCGGTGCAGAACGAGGATTGCGGCCAGTACTGTCAGAGATACGAGGAGACAGCCTCCAGCGGCCAGAATCCTGCTGGTCACCACGACCTGCGTGCTCAAGCAGTGCATCGCCTTTTTCACTTGCTTGCGAAAATGCTAAAGTGCAAACCCTCGGCGAACTGCGCATGCGCGATACTTATAATTAATTGATGGGCTGGGCCGGCTATTTGTATGCTTTTACTCGTGGTCTTCCGCTAGTAGCCCGCGGAGAGTCAGACACGGGCTAGCTACAGTAGTAGATAGCATGCGGGAGTCGGTATATGCCATTCGTTGTGACTTCCTGAGCCCCCAAGGTACACAGAGCGAGCGGATCAGGTCGCGGTTGGCTTTTTCGCTTGTTTTCACGGCATATCTCTCGAACGAAGTCGTTTCAGGAAAATCGCCTAATACGTTTTCAGGCTCCCGTAGTTCTGAATCCGCTGGTATCGCTAATGGGCCGCCTCGTAGCCTGTAGTGCCAGAATAAGCGTCGACCGACAGACAGACAGACAGACAGACAGAACTTTACGACTACTGTAACCCTCGCTGCGCATGCGCGACGAGGGTTAATAATGACGTGGCGTAGAGGAACGAATGCGCATGCCGCCCGCTCGGACAGGAAGTGATTGTGTAAGGCCTTTGACCGATAAGGTAAGAGGTCCAGGTGAAGTCAGTTATATAATAGCTAAACACTAAGGCTGTGGCAAAGTGCAATGTAAAACTCCCTTGAGCCAGTGCGTAGATGTGGTATGCCTACGTAGTGCTGTGAGGTCCACATAATTATCTGACTCAGTTGAAGAGATGGTTTAATCAAAACTCTCAGGGAAAGATATATATATACCACTGATCCAAAATAGAGATATTGTGCTAAATGGCTACCATGCCGAAGGAGATTAATGTATGAATCCAAATAGATATTATATTATAGATATCAGTCAAAAGAAATGGAGATCAGCAGTCAACTATAACAACCTAAATTAACACTAACGCTCGTCTGTGTCTCCATCAGGTAAACCTCCCCTCAAGTTCATGTATTTCTTTTTCTTACATTTGCTTGCTCTTGAAATGGAATGCACAAATTGATAGCCCATGATGCAAACGAATGCAAAGACGACTATTCCCAACATTACATACACCGCTGTGCTTTGAGAACTGTTAGTGTCATCCAAATACAGCGACACAGCAGCAAAAAGTCCAAGATTGGTAATGAATGTGCTCTCTAAAAGTGTGAGGTGAAATTGTTTGTACACTCTTCCGAGTAAGACGGTCAGAAGCAAAAGAATAGAGCAGAGGATGATAATGGATAGCATAGCAGCACTAGCAGGAGCGTGAGGATCAGCAGCTGGTATAATAACAACAACACGTGCCAGGAGCAAGACACCAACCCAGTAGCGACGATTGTCTTTCAGTGGACCATAGTAGGCATCAAGAAGAGGTGTAATCCTTCCTATCCATCTTAGCCCTCGGTAGTGGTTATACCTCTGGAGCCACTGGCCCAGCAAAACACACACTGTGAATGGTAGCCAGAGAAATAGCAACACTACTGTGCTGGCTGCAAGGAGGAGAGAGTGGCTGACTCCAAGGAAAGACACATTTCCATCATACGTCCACACCACTTCCACGGTGATGTCACCGCTTTCATTCTGAACGCTGATGGTTGAAGAGGAGTAAACAGTGGTGATTGTGATGAGGAGTTTATTGTAGGACAGGAGAAAGATGGTTGCCAGAACATGGACGGTGTTGTTTCCAAAGAACTTGGTGGCTAGTTGTGAGTACCTACAGGCCAGTATCATTCCCCCAGCCAGTACCCACAGGTAGAGAGGAAAGAGAAACTGGAGCCAGGTCTTGGTGTACATGTCGAGGTCTTTTGAGAAACACGTCTCAATTCCAAAGTCCAAGTTGAGCCAAGCAATGAACGTAGCAAAGAACCTCACTCCAGGAGCATCAGAGGTCAACAGGGCGTTCTTGTTGCTCTGGGCGATGTTGGCATAAAAAATTAGTCCACCTATCATTCCCTGTGTGATGGTCAGGTTGAGGTACTTTATGAGGAGGATAAGGAGGGCTCCAGCTGCGGCGAAGACCAGCAGGAGCCATAGGTAGTTGTCAGAGCAGTGTGGGAGGCAGTTTGAGCTACCAATGGCCAGACTGTAGCCACGCTGACAGCCTCCACACAGGACTCCAGAGTGATGATTGATGCACTGGACATCTGCTCCGTGTTCTCTGCTGAGGTTCACTTTAACCACTGATGCATTGCAGTAGAGGAGAGGACAGTACTGGCTGTATCTCGTAGTACTGGGGCTGGAATCAACCCATACACTGTATTCACGTGAAATCTCCTGTGTTTCAATGTCACATACTACACTGTACCTTGCACTGCTGTATCTCTTGAATACACGTGTACAATCACAGATACCCCTTATAAAGTCAAAACCACTCGGGCATGCGGAGAAACGAACTGTTATGTACACTGGCAGATCTAGTAAAAGCAGTGGAACGTAAGACTTATTGTTCAATTCATACGTCTCAAGAGCTCCTTCAATATCACTTTTATTAACATACGCTGATAGAGACACGTCTTCAGTTGTGAGAATAATTGTTTCGTTCTCTTTAAATGCCGCCAGTTCCATGCTATACTTCAGAACATTGCTGTTATCACTACAGTTCCAAATATCCACTCTTTGGACTTTTTGTTCAGTAGGTATAGTGGAATTGCTGCTTTTATTCATGATTTGAGCATACACGGGTCCTCTGGAGGTTCCGAAATGCTGGCCCACGGTAAAAGCCGAGACTCTAAAACTCTGTCCAGGGTAGATATGAACATCAGTGGTGTATTCTAGGCAGTTTGCCTTACTGGAGAGGTTGAAACACAGACACACTCGGGAGGAAGAGGAAGACACTGAAGACACCGAGGAAGAGTTTATTTTGGAGATTTTATTGATTGCCGCTATGCACTTGGTACCATCACCTTCAAATCGTGTCACATCAAGATTACCACCAAATATATCATTGCCTCCATCATTTGCAACATTACCTTCAAAATTTAGTATGTAATTCCGTGAAGTGGTGGGTTCATTGTTATCTAGAAGTATAAAACACGGCTCAGCATTTGGAATAAAACCATTATCCAACGTGTAGACGACCTGGTTTATATTACCATAATCAATGTATATTGCACCTCCATTATGAATTGCTCGGTTATTCCTGAATAGCAAAACCGAGTTAAAATTGGCCTGAATAACGCTTGGACCACTAATGAAAATGGCAGCTCCATTATGTGCAGTATTGTTTAGAAACGTTAAGAATCCACTGGCATTGACAGTGCTATTTTCCAAGTAGAGAGCAGTCCCTGTATTGTTCACGAAACTGCAATTGATAATCGTGATGCGCTGAACAAAGAATAGCATCACTGTCACAACTGTGTCGACACTTGTCGATGCTACATAGCTGTTTGAACTAAAGGTGACGTTATTAATGACTGTTGCTGGGTTCAAGGATGGATTTAGTGTCCCTTTAATCAACAGTCCTGATACAGGGAAATGAAAAGGGTGAGCCTGATTATTCTCAATGACAACATTAGATATTGATACAGTCGAATCTCGTCTCATTCCATTATAAACCCGTATAGCAGCTTCATTATGATGGTATATTTTGCTATTAGTAATGTTTACGTCATATTTTCCAGAAAATGTAGCAAAATTAAGAAAAATACCATAAGACATTGCCTCGAGTAGATGTACACTATCCAGTGATATTTCAACACTTACGTCATCACCAAAGTAGCCTAAAATATCAACAGCCATATCGCCTCCTTTTGGAGTTCTGAAAACAATGTGACTAAATTTCAAACTTAGTTTACTTCCAGGTGTAGCGGTATTCCCAAATGTATCAGCATAAAGTTCAAGTGAGCCACTACCATTATGGAATTCACAGTGATGCACACACAAATTAGAACCATTTTTTATCTGTGAATATTGTACACTCATTAGGGAGTGTTCCATTCTTCCATTAAGGATGCAATGAAAGACATAAACATTGCCGGCAATATTGGACAAATTCAATCCATGTAACCATGTATCAAAGATAAGAAACGTAAGCTTAACGTCACTCGTGTTTTGTAAGTACACCCCTCCACCACACGGATTCGTTAAATTTACGTGTGAAAACTCTAAATTGTAGCTGTCTTCAAAGTAAAATATATAATGATCTGACTTACATTGTGAGGTCCCTCTCGAACTGATCAATTCAAAGTTCAAGTTAGTGAAAGATATATTTGAACTCTCACTCAAAGAGAACCAGGAGGTTATATCAGTATCAATTTCAACAGTTACATCACTTCTTCCAACCAGATACAATCCAACACGATTCCAACTGGAAAAATATTTCTTTACTACGTGAGTGCCTGGTAGAAACTCCATAGTAAGGTAATTGCTCTGGTACAGTACTGATCCAGGATGGGATACATAGTAGTCGAAAGTGTGACAGGAAACCAGGCAGCTACATGTGACGTTCTCTGCTGGAATAACACACACCTTTGTCGTCTTTTCTGAGCTGCATAAAGAGCTCACAGAAAGCAGAACACTGACCACAAGCACATATACTCCATTAACCGTCATTTTCCTGAAATGAAAGCGCCATTTTCAGTAGTTTACAACCAAGTATATACTAACAATGAGAGCGCCTTTATAATGTCACTCGTGACCAGATTGCCTGTAGTACTCTACAACTACGATTATACAAATTCAGCAAACATTATAGACTATTGTGATCAGTGAAGCTAATCCACACCCCTCCGTCTAAACACCCGCCTCCCAAGATCAATCATTGCGCATCAAACTCACTAGCTAGTCTTAGACCCTTCTATAATAGCTAGCTACGTACCGGTAGTTAGCTAGCTACACCAGGTAGCACAATACCGAAAAGCCGAAGGAGCATAGGGAAGTATACGTAGCTGTGTAGCCTCGCGAGCCTGACCACACGGGAAAAGAGCATTACGAGATTAGTAAGCTAACTAGCTTGAAAGGACTCCCGACGACGTATTTTCATGCGCTATCTCAGAGATATAATACCTGGGGCTGTGTAGTATATACAGTCAAGAGAGATGAAGACCGAGAACAGGCCGGGGGAGGCGGACGTCGCGTATGTACTGCGCATGCGCGCATAGGAGGTGTAAAGGTTATTCACCAGAACGATGGCTGAGAAAGCCAGTGCCACTACTGCCCTGCAGTGGGTAGAGCGTCTTTTGGAGCCGTCTGCGAGCGAAGACATGATGATCGAAGCTGTGAGTACATCTCTGCTTTATAATGTTGAGTTTTGTACCTTCCCTGTTTCCCCAAGGCTCAGGTGTTTTCACCAGGTCACTACTCTGACGTGGTGGACGAGAGAATTATAAGTCGTCTATGTGGCTATCCGCCATGCAGTAACCCTCTGGACCTCAGCCGCAGCAGAAGTACCACATCTCACTGGCCCTGAAGAAAGTGTTTGATCTGACACAGAGAAAAGTATGTGCTACATGCTGCCAGACTTGTATGTATATACTCTGCTGATTATAGCTAGCTACTTATTTTTGCCAGTAGAAATTTTGCAGCGTGGAGTGCTACCGAGCATCAAACTACTATGCTTCACAGCTGTCCAGTCTACCACCACCGACGAGAATTGGAACGTACGGACGTTATCTTTAGCTTATGAAGATCTCACTGGTGTCTCTGTGTGTAATGTTCACAGTCCAGTTGTCATAAAATTTCTGCCACATTCTGGCTCTAAGGCTGAGCATTCCAACCAGCGATGTGGTAAACCACCACCAATGACAAGCCGGCAGATGGTGAGTGATTGTTTCAATGTGAGGTGTTAATGTTGTGTGAGTGCCCGCAGATTTGGGAGTTGTTATCAAAGAAGTGCCCATGAAGGTTTGTGTCATGGGGCAGGAACACTCCAACAAATTGTATTGTTACGTATTAAACAGAAACGACTAGTAAACTTAGTGAACTACGAGTGACTGATGAAGGTGAAGATGCAGAGTCTGGAGATAGTGAGCCGAGAGATTCGGTACATCTGGCACACCCGAAGCTGTCACCGGTCGGTCGTCTTCTCCACGCAATGTCCAGCTGGTGTACTCCCGACACCCGCTGCTTTGTGGAGCAAGCGAGACAACAGACACATTCAGAGAGAGATCCTGTCCAGACACCAGAAAGAGACAGTGGTAAAGTATATGCACCATGTGTTGTGGAAGGCAGCAATGCAGCTGTGATGAAGAGGCCTGTCAGGAGAGCGAGGCAGAGAGTGGAGGATGACAGGGAAGACCTGGATGATGTTCAAGAGGTCTTGCCACCTGTTCAGCAGCTCTGCACAATCGGCAGCTCAGCAGGACATCTTGGTGCAACAGTATGCGACGAAGTTAGTAGTTGTGGCATCTCTCTCTCTCTCTCTCTCTCTCTCTCTCTCTCTCTCATTGTACTGTATCTTACTGTAGTGTCTCAAGTGTTGCAGTAGACCTTAGTCTCATTACAGATGAAGTTCTCCCAGAACTCTTAAGCAGCTGGTGTGGACGTTCAGTTGTTGTTTTATAGCGTGAACTGAAGACATTAGCATTAAATAGACTTTCTGTAGGTTATCAAGGCATACAATTATGTTCAAGCCAGCAGAGTGGAAAGTTATAATTCTGATTCTTATACACATGTGAGGGTGTATAATAATTATTCATATTGTCAATATCTGCTGACATCTATAGTGCTGCTCCAGAATGGAACACTGTCACAGGCAAACCGACTTCTGGAATCATCCAGGAGTGGTTGAGAGCTGTGGATGCCACCAATGCTGATCTGAATCTCATGATGAACATTTTCAATCACTAAGTGTTTGTGCACAAAGTTATTTCGTCCGTGATATTATAGCGCCCTCCTCCGCGTGCGCATGCGCACGCTGAAAATTATCCATCTAGCGCGCGCCGTAGGGCGCACTTTACTTCCTTCCGGGATGATGGCTGCCGAGCAAGAGGTGGTTGTGTTGACCAGGGACGAGAACAACAAGGCTACAGTAAATCTCCACGGTCTGCGGCTTCATACTGTAGCAGCATACTGGTTGATGAAATTGGCTTTTTTTGTCTGTAGGAGGAACTCTGCAGTCGTGGGTTCATAATGGAACTGAGATGATCTTTGTCAGGTTGGGCAGTACATTGCTATAGCATTGAGCAACACATCTAATTAACAAGAGATGAGCAGGGTACATTTGTCAGTTAGCAAATTCAGTGAAAATTTCTCATAAATGTACTTTATGGCTAGCTAGTACCTGCATTCCTGCGAAGGTAAGTAACTCGGCCTGCCATACTCATGATCTCTCTATTCCAGCAAAAATGCAGTCTTTGACAACAAGAAAGGGATAAGAGGTGGAATTCCAGTCGTGTTTCGTAAGAAACCACAATTTTTCCCGCGAAGTTGTAACTAAAGTTTCTCTCGTTGTCCAGCTCAGTTTGGTCCCTGGGAGCTAGGACCTCAGCACGGGTTCGCCCGCACCTCCAGATGGCAGTGCACCTCTCCTCCCAGCACTGTACGTTCTCTAACACACCTAGCATCATTTGCCAGACTACTTGCTTGCTAACTACATAGCTTCGTAGTAAATAGAGAGATGGGCTGCTTGCTTGCTAACTATAGCTTCGTAATAGAGAGATGGCTGGTTTCCTTAGAACTCAGGTGGTGATGTAAGTGCAACGTTCACCCTGACTGATACGGATGCCACCAGAGCCATCTGGAACCACAAGTGAGCCTTTTAGTATTTGGGGGGGGGTGGCTGGTATACTAAGCTACCACCACGGTTTTATCTGTCTCCCAGGTTTAAGTTGGATCTTGTAGTTGTGGTAAAGGCGGGCAGTCTAGACACATCTCTCACTGCCACCAACAACAATGGTGAGAGAACAAAGTATCCAGATTAAGCCATGTAACTTTAAGTGATTCTCTGCTAATAGTGTCCTTTGTTGAATCTGTGCTTGCAACTGCATACGAGAAACAAAGCTACATGTCTGTCTTAGTTACACAGACACGCAACTGCATTGTTGTAGTGTGTAGCACCTATTGATTCACTTCCCACTAGTGCCCGATGTCAATTATGGCAAAAACAACGTACTTGGTCATTGATAAATCCCCTCGTGGTTTGGTGCAGCTGCGGAGTCCTTTTCGTGTGTCACAGTGTTGCCTTGCCTCCATCACGTATGTCGTCTCCTGATGTGCATTTCCAGTCAACCGTGTTGTCTGGTGTCGGTGGACTGGACATACATTGACAGCAAGGTCACACCCCATAATCACTACTTCGTTAGTCATCCTTTCCTAATGACATTTCGCCATTCAGACTGAGGCGGAGGAAAAGAAAACAAGGACAGGAGGGAAACCCCAGACAGTATCAAAATATGGGACTAGTAAGATCGTATTGTAATAGACAATCATGTCTTTTCTCCTCTGTCATACAGTATTTATCTGGAGGCAGTCAAAGATCATGTCATAACCATGCTGCTGGTGGGAAGACCATTTGCCTCAAGAAACCAATTGCCTGATACCGTCTGCAGTGCTGCATGATATAAGCAAGCTATTGCTGTGATTGGGCAAGCTAGATTACGCCGAAGGTTTTGCCGTAGTGACTCCGGGGGGATAAACAAATTGCTATATTTACGCCCCTCCAAAGTATTTGGTGTGGCTGATGGTTAAGGACCCAAGGTCAGTGGTTCGATCCCCGTCAGGGGCGGAGGGTTTGCACTTTAGTGCTTTTCATTTCTGTATGCAGTGGTTTGGAATCCATGGAGTGAGAAAGCTAAGGCCATGAGTGACTTCGGAGATGATCAGGTACTTCTATCAGTGGCTCATATGTTCTTTCTTCATATATTCCTCTACTTTCATATCTCGCCCCCCCCCCTGTTTGCAGTACCCCAACATGTTATGTGTGGAGGCAGGCTATGTCAGCCAGCCAGTCGCCCTCTCTCCTGGAAAGAGCTACACTGGCTCTCAGACTCTCACCATCCAGTGACCGACCCTCTCTAGTCTCCTCTAGGAACATTACTATGAGCACTGTTAAAATTGTTGTTTATGGTGGTAAGCTACAAATGACCGTTACTACAAGGGCTGTGTATTATGACAGTGTATTTGACCCTTTTTGTTCAGATATACAGCACTTCAAAGTATACTCTTTTTTTGGATGTGTAGGCACTTGCTCTGCACAGGCACACCTCCGCTCATCTCGTGAACACCCTCTGCCACAATTTTTGAGGTTCTCTTACGAGATTTCCTTCAGACATAGCAGCTTACTTAACGACCAGGACACAGCTTCTAACATGTCGGAGCACAGAGCACATGTCATACAAGAATTGCACGCTCATTTATCCAACACATTTAAATCAAGGCTGAGAGCTGTCACAGGAACGTCGAGGTAGCTAGCTACGGATACTGGACCCCGAATACAGTCGCATCAAAGTCTATAGAAACAAGTGAGGGATTCACTGCCCTACTACTCCACTACTAAACTCCTAAAACAAACACTGCTCAGTGTATCACATCTAGGCTTCATCACTGGTTGTCAGTAGCAGTGAGCTGTGTGAGGAATAATATTTGGCAGGATGAGTCCCAGCGATAACATGCATACACATAGTTTTCACCTCTGGCCTTGCCATTGCTTTGGTAGCTCAAACTATGAATACTGAGCCTAAAGCTTACTTGGTAGCATAATGCACTTCCAACGTCATACATACAAACTCACATACATTGGACAAAATTTAGATATTTTTCAACTGTCTCATTTTCACACTCTGAAGCCATACTGACATAAACGATACAATATTTTTTAGAGCTTTACGCCTCAATACGACCCGAGCTTCTTTCGTTCTCTAATCTCAGTCGACCTCTCATTTTTCATCTAACTCGACCTGCACCTAATGCGTGCTCAACTGCTTTCAGCTGAGCCTCAATGCTTGAGTTGAGGCGACTGATTTTTCGTGTGTAAAACACAATCATAGATGACTGCTATGATAGCTACTCTGATCCACTTTTTGTACGGAGAGTAGAATAGATACGTAGTTTTACACTATCTCACTGGAGCAACTTGTGGTCTTCTTTGCATCATAGACCTGCACTACTCAATTCAGCTAGCAGAGACTGCGGTCTGATTTCTGTTCCCAACTGGCGTCGCATGTGATCAGAGACTAAACAGAATCCACGAGCTGTCAATTTATGCTATACTTACGTGTAAAATTGATCAGACACTTGAAACACCACTTAGGGAACTCTGGATAACAAAGTTTCACGCTAGATTTGGCTCAGCGCATGTTAGATATCAATCTTACATCAGAGTCGCTACTGTCTCCACTTAGGGCACTACCGTGGATATCTTCCACCAAAATCCTCGCAGACAATTCTCTGGTCTCCTTCACAGTTCTTAACTATTCCCTGACACCTCTCCTCCAGTTTGGCTAGAATCCTCGACCGCATCTCTGACTCACGGCTGCAGGCGCCTGCACCGGCAGCCGACGTCTCCAGCTCCGTCTCCAGCTCGCTTGTGCTAGACTCCGCCTAGGTTTACGGCAGCGGACGGTCTTTATGGGCTCATCGTTGCAAAAGAATCAGCTAGCTACAGTGTCTCACGTTCATCAACAGTGACTTATCAAGTTGCTCTCTGGAGACTTCTACATCCGATCCTGTGCAATCCAGCCCTTCCCACTTATTCCCGACGCCAGAGGGCAGCTCACTTTCCTCCATAATAAACTCTCTCTATTGACTACGGCTATGAACTCATATTCCTAGGCAATCTATATATAGGCTTTGCTCGACATTGTCACATGCTATATAGGTGGAGGAGGAGTGATAAACACATGAATATAATTATAACGAATACCTAATATTGGACATTCCATTCCAGCATTTGAAGTGCAGCAGTTAACGGAATTCGTTATGAGTCATAGTTACTAAAAAAGGTTTAGTATTATACGATGTACAATAGGAAATCATACAATGATTGCTGACTCTAAAACAATAAGTTTAACAGTGTAAAACTGCAGTGATGTTTGCTGTAGCTGCTCAAGACCCTATGACTGAGGAGGAAACTCTGGCAGTACTTGTGTGTAGTAGCCAATGATCTGGGACCCAGGGATGGAGATCCTCAGACCATCGCTGGAGCTCTCGGCTGAGAAAGTCCTCTGGGATCTGGAGTTGCTGAAGCTCCCAGAGACACTGGCGCTCCAGAAACCGAATCCTCCGCTGGCACTGAAGCTAGTACTGGTGGCCACGTGGACAGCATGGGCCGACTGAGAGGCCGAGATGCTCTTGAATTCAATGTTGATGTTCCTGGAGAGGAGGAGACCAGTCACGTACTCGGGGAGGAGGTAGTTGGCCCCTGGCTGAGTTATGGCACTGATGAACTTGTTTTCGCCTTCCAGTGTTCCAGGGGACACACGGGCTGAGTCATCCAGCTGGAAATAGTTGGAAGTATGTAAAAACTCTTTCGAGAAAAATTGTAGCCAAGTCACATTCATAATCCTATGCTACAGCCATGCTTTAAACTTACTCTGATTTGGAATTGCTTGCTCTTGAAGAGAGAGAGTCTGAACCAAGGTCTCTGGACGGTCACTCGCAGGAGCTCTCCACTAACTAGTGACTTGGCACTGTTCATGGCAGCCTCGAACCTGGACTCTGTACGAGAGCTAGAGCGACTGAAAGACGCCTTTGCTCTCCAGAATAGTCCACTAGCACCACCACTGGCAGCAACTCGGGAAGTCTTGGCCGAGAAAGAGGAGAAAGAGCTCTGGGTTTCACGACTGGAGTCAAATGCAAAGGAGAGCCATTTGGAGTCGAGCTGGTCTTGCGTGTCGGCTGCGTGCTGAGCATCACGAGCGAGGTGAGAGAACTTTACGTCGGCAGTGGCCAGTCGCTGCTTGAGGACGTTGATCTGCTCGTCGATTTTGAGCGCAGTTTCGTTGAGAGCTTCCCGGGCCAGCTCAAATGAGTTGATCTGGTAGTCGAGGTCCTGGACGCAGGCGTACAGCTCGGTGTTGCAGCTACGGTATCGCGCATTACCCAGAGGCCTGCGGTACATCTCGCAGTCGTTGGTTTGCAAGACTACTGTTGGTGGCCTTGCACGGATTCGGCTGATAGACACTTCTGCCGCAGTTTTCTCCGTGTTGTCGGCAACGTGGTGAGCGCTGTGTTGGAGACTCAAAGGGAGGCCTGGAGAGCAGCAAACTCGGTGATTAGCTCTGTGGGGCTCTTCGGCCTGCAGGGCAATAAGGAACCCTCTTCTGGCCTCCATCTCTCCGATCATGACAATAGTCATCGTCCCGTGACTCAATCTACAATCTGTTGACAGCTTCAGCGTGCTCTCACTGTATCAGTAGGTTATAATTATTCACTATCAGCGTTTTCTAATGTGTAGTGCACAAGCCTAAAGTCAAGGGAAATATTCTCAAATGCTCCAACCACCCAACTTGAGGAAAGAGCCTCAATTCTGCATCTATAAACCTATTAGCCACCATATCTAGTGGATCAACTTACAGGCGGGTGACATTGGTGAGGTAGCGATACCAGTTGCCAGGGACAAAGCTGACTGGATACACCGTCCTGGTTCGATCCAGTGAGGCAAGTCCGGAAGCTCGCAGAGCCATCCTGGCCTTTTCCAGGTCTACACCGGGCGACTCCACGTCAAGGTAGCTCTTGTACAGCTCCACGATCTCCTTCTGACCGAAGATGAGCCACTCGGTGTAGGCGCCCTCAACCTGGGATTTGAGCGACGGGAAGTTGCGCTGGAACCACCGCTCGTAATCGATGCCGGGAAGGGTTGAGCGCATTTCTTCAATGGTGTTCTCCATCTCCAGACGGCGCTCGTTGTACAGCTCCTGGCTCCTTCGGTACATCTGGAACCGAGTCACGTTCTGGGTAACGTTCAGTGGGTCTGGGATCTCCTCGGCGAGATAGTTGATGGCCGTAACGTAGCGCTCTTTCTCCTCTTGCGTCTTTTGATTGAAACCCTTCACCTCCATCTTGTTGAGGATGTCTTCGTAGATGATGGCCATACTCTCCCCTGACTCGGCTCCTCGCAGCGGATAGCGTCCCGGGACGACGTCAGCGAGTGCGAACATGTTCTCCATGACCCGCGGTGGGATGGATACCTGCTGATCGGTGTACCCGTAGTCCGGGTTCTCTAGGTAGGCCTCGTACGCATCACCTGGGAAGTAGTCGTAGTAACTGGGCACTTTTCCGGGGATAAGCATCACCAGTCGCTGCTCGGTCGGTTCCTCGCCGGTGGCATCAGCGCTGGGCGGCGGGAGAGCCGCGTCCCTGAGCACCGTGTACAGGTTGGCGAGAGTGGTCTTGGAGTTCCGAGCTGCGGCTATTGTCTCGGTGGAGGCGTCGGCGGCCGTCGCTGGTCGGAGTGCGCAGAGCGCAATTGCTGCGAAGACGAAGATGAGTTGCATCTTGCTTGCTCGGTGCATGCCGCTGAGCAACCCCCGGTGAGTTTTATACCCGTCAGCTGGCATGTCGCAACAAGACGGGATGTTGACGTCATCGCGGATAAAGGAACGTCGGTAATAAAGCGGAGATGCTGCTGGACGGGTGCTCATTTTGTTGCCTTGTCGTGTCAGTGCAAGATGCGGCTACGCCTCGTTCTACTTCTGGTAGGGATACAGGTGAGTATAAGCGGGAGCTACGTAAAATCGCGCGAGAGCGTTAGCGCACAAGTACGGACAGGGATCGGCAGCGTTACACGAGCACAAGCACCGTGCTAAACGCGATTTTCACTTTTCGTTCAGATACTGTCCCAAGTGTTGGAATCATCACAGCAGAATATCAGGGTAAGTCACCATCTACAACAACACCATAAGCCACTGTATGACTGTCTCCAATTCAGGAAGATACTGATGCTCCTACACCCAGTGAGATTCTCGCCATCAGCCAGCAGTCAGCTACATCTAACCAACTGCAAAGTAAGTTTACTGGTCCTACATAGCTATATACTATAGCTAACTGAAAAGTATTGTAACACAATACTCGACAAATTGTTATGCAACCACGGAAGTTTTTTCAGGTTGGTGTGCCTGCTTGGAGACAGACCACACGTGTGTTTGTTGGAAAGGTCCTACCTATTAGCCTGGCTATTTTTCTGCAGCTAACACTGGAAATGAGTTCTATATTGGATTCATGGACAACTACATCAAGCCAGCATTTTCATCCAACGAGCGGCTAATTCTCAACCGTAGCGAAATTTTCATCACCACAGCTGAGAGCTCAGAGGTAGTCACAATGATAGAGAGTGAAGAGGGAACTACCATGGTCAGCGTTAGACCTGGAGAGGTCGTGACTAGGAGACTGCAACAGCTGAAGGTTCAGTCAGGGAGGGATCGAAGTAAGGGCTTGAAGATAAAGGCCGAGCAGCTCAAGCAGATTACCGTATTTGCACTAAACGAGGAGCTTCATTCGACCGATGCCTTCACTGCTCTTCCATGTTCACATCTTGCGTCTGTCACATCTTACGAATACTACGCAGTATCAGTCCCTCCCACACCTGTCGTCGATACCGCTGCTGACAGTGCTTTCCTGATAGTGGCCTGCTCTGACAACACCACAGTCACCATCACTCCGACTCAGACCATCTCCCATCCCTACATACCCATCCTCACAATCAGAGCTGGAACCTCATTCTCTGTCCTTCTCCAAGAGAGACAGACTCTCTATGTACAGGACAGGCAAGACCTGACTGGATCTAGAGTTGTGTCCTCGTCTCCAATCTCCTTCTTCACTGGACATGAGTGTGGGAATGTCCCGGCAGGTACCCCAGAGTGCGACCATCTGGTGGAGCAGATTCCCCCCACCGTCACCTGGGGTAACCAGTTCATCGTGGCCCCCACCGCCACAAGGAGATCTCCAGACCTGGTCAGAGTCATTGCTGCACAAGACGGCACTTCAGGGAATGCAGCATGCATTAACCAAGGATCAGGTGGTGATACAGATATCTTTACCGTGTCGTTGGCCCGGGCCGGGAACTTCATGGAGTTCAACCTTTCTGCTAACAAGTACTACTTCATACAGACCGACAAGCCAGTGCTAGTGGTCCAGTTTACTGCTGGAGGGGGTGCAGATGGTGCTAGCAATGCCGATCCATTCATGGTGATCGTTCCAGCAGTGAAACAGTACTTAGACATCACAACCTTCTCTACCATTAGTGGTCACGACTATCAAAACTACGCCAATCTCTACGTCCCTGCCGGGTTTGATCCATCAGGTGTTATGATTGACAGTTTACCCAGGGACAGAGACAGTCAACCGTGGGTAGATATTCCCTGCCCAACCACTCCCGAAACATGCGGTCACACCACAACAGTTTCAATCAGTGATGGTGTTCACTCGGTTTGGAACGGCAACGGTGGCCCAGTTGGTGTGACTGTGTACGGATTCTCGTATCTCGAAAGCTATGCCTATGTTGGCGGTTTGAAGCTTACTTCAGGTAACAATGTTCCTACATGCATTAACACTTTACCAAATTTGAAATTTCACAGGCGAAGGAGAAGTTATACCGCCCAGATCACACTTTGCCATCACCGGAGACATTTTGTGTCTCCAGTGTTATGGAGACCAAGAGCCTGGGTCTACCACTACATCCAGGTGGAGTAAAGACGGACAGACTGTGGATATCCAACCATCTGGGAGAATATCACTTAGCTCCAGTGGCTCTCTCTGTATCGAGGATGTCCAGTACAGTGATGCTGGGAGCTACATCTGCCACGTACCAACCCAGGGAATTAGTTACTCCACCACACTTGAAGTGGCAGGTAAGGCGTACATCAATGCCCACACTGAATGTTGAATTGAATGGTCTCTGTACAACAGGAGCGATCATTGTGGAGCAATCTTGTGACATAGTGGGTTTTGATGGGCAAGAAATTGGTATAGGACAGGAGACTGTCTACCTGGACAGTAGCACGCGATCCTTTGGGATCTGCTGCAGAGTCCAGGGTCCACCAGGCTACAGAGTCACCTGGCTACGTGACTCCACACCCATCTCTCAGCAACAACAAGGATACGAGTTTGGAGAAGGCTACCTCAGATTTTCAGGCGCCCTCGCCAATGGCTGTGCCCAGTACACCTGTCAGGTTGACTTTACTACTCACAATGTCAGGAGTAACGAAACTACTGAAATTTGTGTTGGAGGTATGGGTTTCGGTCACACTACATAGATGTTTGCTTATACTACCAACATTGCGTTTCAGATATTACACCTCCAACCATCGTGAATATCACTGGAGATATGACAGTCTTGGAAAACACACATGCAACCTACCAGTGTATTGCAGATGGTTACCCTGAACCAACCAAAATGTAAGATAGCTACTAGCTTGTTATCTGTGAAGGTATATTTACTGTTCTGTATTGGACCAGGTGGACAGCTGATCGTCAAGCACAGTCTCCCCTTCCTCCTACTGCCAGAGATGATGGCAACGGAGGGCTATCACTACGAGTTACTCACTCAGACTCCTCTCGCAGATACTGCTGCGATGCCAGCAATCAGCACGGCCAGATACTTAGCAAGTGCTTCATGATCAATGTACTCGGTAAGTGATTGTCATATAGCTAAAGAGTAAAATGTAAGACTTTTAAAATGCCTTTCTCTGCCTACAGTCACCCCAGTGATTGCAAAGGGTGATTCTAATCCGTTTGTGACAGTGGCAGTACCATATTGGGTTCCATGGCCTCTGGAAGAGACCCAAACTGCAACAATCTCTATTGGAAACAACGTAATGGTTGCCGAAGGCTATCATCTGAAGATAGAGTGTGGAATACTCCGTGCTAATCCAAAACCCTCAATTGTGTGGCACTTTGGTGACAATATCATCCAAGGCCCACAATACACAGTGGAAGAAGATGGGACACTTGCAATCAATGGTGTTATTAGAGACAGAGATGAAGGCGTCTATACTTGCATAGCTGACACTCCTAATGTGGGTCAAGACCAAAGCTCAACAACTATCATCGTCACAGGTAAGTTGGTGTATTACGACCGTGCTTTACCTCACCATCTCACTTTTCCTTCTCCAGTCCCTCCAAGAATCAACAGTTCAGAGCTAGTCACAAGTCCAGGAAACTGCCTGGACCTCACACAGAGTCTAGTGAACACACAACCTGTTGGTGTGGACCTGTGCTTGAGAGCTGGAGAAGAAGCCAGCATCACACTTCAATGTAACATTGTGGAGGGCTCACCAGCTCCAACCATAGAGTGGCTAAAGATGGGGTCCCTATTGATGGGTCTGGAGATGAATCTCTGGTCATACACCTACCAATAGATGCTTATGGGGAACAGAAGAAGCAAACTGAGGGTAACTATACTTGTCATGCTCTCAACGTCGCTGGAAGCACCACAATGGAAACCCACATCAGTGTATTTGGAGGTACGGTGGAAATGATCGTCATTCCATGATACAATATCACACGTTTTATTCTCTGTACAGATATACCCGAGGCAAAGGCTGCAAGGGAATTTGGGAGAAGATATGCAGACATCTACAACCAACTTCGCAAGTCTGCCTCAGAACAGTTTCTGGAAGTCAAGGAAGGAACTCAACACCTCAGCTTTTTCACCAGCGGTAAAATGCTGGCCTATGACGACTACGATCCAGGGTATCTGTATGACGAAAGCGAGGAGAGTGTGCTGCCTCAGAGCATGGAGAACATGTTTGACCTGGTGGACATCATCCCTGACGGAGGGAGCATCGTCTTCAACCCACACAGGGCACCCAGACTCCAGACGACATACAGCCAACTGCTGGAGATGCTGCAAGTGGCACCCAGCTCTCTCTTGCCTGAACAACAGATCAGTACCAGACGTTACTTCCAAGAGGGCATCCGAGACCCAAGCAGTGGACAAACACTGCCTCGACTCAGTCTTTATCTCCTCTACAAGAACACCTACTACAGGACTAAAATGGAGGTTGACGACTTGATCGAGTCCAAACGACGGAGGCTTCTCGGGTGGGAGTTCACCCAGTGGTATGAACGAAACATACACACTCTCCAAATGAAGATCAATGATGCGTACATGAAGTGGGAGATGTATGCAGACAAGACGGACGTCGAAGAAAAGTTGGACACCCTCAACCTAGAAGATCACTCGCAGGAGATAAACACTGCACAGGCTCTCATGCTAGCCAACCAGAGGATGTCAAGGTTCAAAGACGAGAAACAGTACTACCTGGTCAAGCTCTACCCTGACACATGGTACAAGGAACTAAAAAACAAGTGAGTACACCAATGCTATACTGTTCCTCTAACAGCAGTTGATAAGTTTTTTTCTTCATCATCACTGCAGAGTCAAGGAGAGTATTGAGCAGATGCAGTTCCAGCTGTCCAAGCTGAGGACGGAGGTTGAGGTACTGGAGCTCACCAGTCAGTATCTGGAGAAGGAGACTAAAGAGAGAGAGGCTCTCAACACACTGTTTCCGTCTCTGGATCCTGTCTATCAGCTCCGCTGCGATCTCGACGAGGCCACTTACAGGCTCCAAGAGCTGGTCAAGGAATCAGAGGACATGCGCTACGAGTGTCTCATCAGCGGGAACCCCGCAGACTGCCACCTCTACTGGGGTCTCCAGGAGCACATCCGTGAACAGGTGCTGGGTAACTACACCGAGTTTTACTGGTACGTTCACACCGTCGAGGCAGCCCTGAACCATCGCGAGTTCTCCATCCCAGCCATTGCTAGTACCATCAGCAAACTACAGACGCGGATCACCCACGTACAGGCCTCGATAAACATTGCTCTCTCTGAGCTGTCTGAAAGAGGTGGCGAGGAGACTAGTGACAACCGAAAGTTCTTCACCGACTTCATGTACAGCCAGAACCCTTCAAATTTTCCTTCAAGTTACGATTTTAGCCTTCCGTCGTCCCTACTCGGTCGGCTACTGTGGTACATTAACCCCGAGAGCACTAGACTTCTCCCAAAGGAGTTGACAGAGGAATACAACCTCACCATCAACCACCTGAACACTGCATTTACCAATGTATCTGCCAAGCTTTCCAGGGTCAATGTTCACAGGAGATGGTTCAAGGCAGGGATATTTGGAAACAAGCATCTCAAGCTGGTGAGCTGTGCAACATAACCGTGTGTACCATGCTTTACATCGCTTCTCCATTGCAGGCAAATCCTGATGTGCTTGTATCTCCGGGTGAAGTCACTCCACCACAACACTTCCGTGAACTACTTGCAAATGGCACCTACCAGCTACCACTCTACCCCACCACCCTCCTTCTGGCCACCGACATAGAACTCATTGTCGACGTTCCCTTCATATTCCACACTCTACCAACCCTCATTAAATTCTCATACGACCCTCACGTCACCGGAGGGTTCGGCCCCTTCTCGCTTGGCCGGCTCCACAGAGCCAGTGCTGGGGACATGAAGTTCAGGGTGGGTGTCAGAGACAACAAGATATCCATCAGACTACCTGGAACCCAGCTGATTGGCTATGTCTGTGACGTGGTTCCACAACACCCGAGAGAACCTACCTACAGAGTTCGTCGTTCAACTCACTCAAATGTACAAGATACACTTGTGAAAGAGTCAGAGTTTGACCAGTGGCTCTTTTCAAAGAACAAAGACCGTAGACTTCGAAACGGACTATTTCGCAAGGACCCACTCAATGACCCGGCTTTAACAGACAGTTTGAAGCAAGTAAAAGATGGTGCCGAGAGAACTCCACTGCTAATCACCCCAACAGTTCCTTCGAACACTGCCACAGACACTGTTTACTACAACAGCACATTGTAGTCAAACCATGAACTCTAGTAGATATTCAACTGTACTGTATACCTATTGACACTTTTAATCATCAGAGAACCTTTTGTGATCACTTTAAACCACTAGAATTAACCATGACAGTTAATCCACATAATCCATATACGGTGTGTGTTGTAAGAAACTCTGACACCAGCACATATACTATAATGACCCTGCACCTACGATTCTGGAAGCAGTAATTGGAACAAGCAGTCATTGGAATTTTACATGTACATAGAATTATACAGGGTATGACTTTGCACTCAACATTGCAATGAAAATGTGTAATAGGTCCTACTTCAGGTTTTGCTGACCCTCACCCTCAGAGGGTAATTCAGTGATCGTGCGAGTAAAAAAAGTCACGGATGGCGAGGATTGAACTAAGGATCCGTGAATTAAAACACCCGGCACATACCACATGAGCTACATACTTACTATTTTGCTTGCCTTAGCAATGAAAATGTCACCTAAGGTGCTTTACACAGGAGGCTGCCTTCAGGGTTGAGTAATATTCATTTAACGTCCAGCGTTAGACATACTTCGCCACTATTCAGCAAAACAGGAGTTTTACATCAGGGTCACTAGGGCTAGGACAAACATGAGTAGTATATCAGGGTCACTAGGGCTAGGATGTATGTACTTCCCCTCTATTAATTTGCTCTATTCACAACCAGTCTTAGAGTCCATCCTGATATAATATACCACTGAGTGACCACTTTTCACTCATGGTGGGTAGAACATTTTTCTATTAATTTGCTCTATTCACAACCAGTCTTAGAGTCCATCCTCGATATATACCACTGAGTTACCACTTTTCATTGACGGTGGGTAGAACATTTTCCACACATCCTATATTGTACCCCTTGAATGGCTCCAGTGATCTAAGGTTAGCATCCTGGAATGCCAATTACACTACAGGGGAAGCCAGTGAATAAACATCCCACAGTGAGGAAGTGTGACCTCTTAATGAAGTGAACCAGGACGTCCTCTGAATCTCTATGGCAATGGTAGGAGGTTCATCTCATTGGAGCTAAACCCATTACAAACAGCAGCAAGTGCATCCAGCATAACCTATAATAAACCCCAACCCACCTTAACTTATGATGGTGATCAATGTTTGTGAGCAACACACAAGGAGAGCTTGATTTGCTTCTACTGTGCCACTAGCCAATCCCATCATTTGGTCCAAAATGTGTGTTACCATTACCTGTTTAATATCAGGTGCAATAAACAGCTCCCATATGCAAATCTCAGTTCTCAACTGAGAAATCTGGAAAGGATATTGCAATGTTTAGCATTCTACAAATCTATATTGCCGGTAGAGTGCTACGCTGAAGCCGAGAAGTCAGGATGTGGCAGTGGGTGTAGGAGGCAGTGCAGCCATAACAGCCGTTGTCATGGACTGGTCGTAGACAGTGAGGGTCAGTGGCCGATGGCCGTGGGCTGTTGTGTTGGAGGATCTTGGGCTGACATCACCTGTCGCAAGCATGCAGGAAACTGCACCTCTTGATGCAGAGTCACCACCACCAGTTATTTACTATAGATGCTCATATATGGGAGGGAGAGTTGGTGGATCAGCAGAGATCTCACACTGCCCCTGCTGTGAAACCTAAAAGCATAGCAGGAAACTCTACACCCACCACTCACTGGCCTGGCCCTGCACGTGTAATCATCTGCAGTGCTGTATTGAACTACGTTGGTATATAGAATAATAGAGCATGGCCTTTCATTGATGTTGGATACTAATGAACTGATGACCAGGCAAAATTTTGCCATAGCCCATATCACACATGATTTATGCAGCATGTGTTCAAATTGAGTGCGTACGCAATTAGCCTCATGATTAATGCACAGAATATTGCTGCTGATCTTTACGTAGCAAAGTGTTCTTTATGACGAATAAAGCACTGGCGGTGCCTTTAATCTGCCCACGCAAAGTACAATAAATATAGGTAAGAGACCCTCCATGTTCATATGCCCTTATGTAGGTACAATCCCATTAGCAATGAACACAGCTTCTATGCTTCTATACTGTAGCATCACTAGGTAGGAGGAGACGTATCCCAACAGTTGCTCTTTTGTTGGAGTGGGCATAATTCCTGAGGCAGGCTACAGGGAGGGGGGAAGTTATCCAGGAAGTGTGTGGAAGTGAGGGGAAATAAGCTGCTCCACCCAAGGGATCTCATACGTGATGCAAGTGACCAAAACTTCATTAGGCAGCGAATTTCCTCAACATGTTGTTGGGAAAATGTCTATTAGCCACTATAATGATGATTTAGGACACAAGGAAAACATCCTTATCAGGTAATACACCCACTTCATCTTTGCGTAAAGGAGAGCACATATACCTCATAGTATGTAGTCAGTGGGAGTGTGAATTAGAATATCATCAGGATTCAGCAAAATTACACAGCGTGATGCTACTCTTTGTACTACATTAACTAACACACAGTATGATCCACGTACAAACACAGATCATTCATTAGGCAGGGGCACACATACTAGGGAGCATGTTGCACTAAGTTGTTGTCTTCAAATGGCCATTATCCAGCTACCAGGGCCATCTAACTATAAAAGCCCCACAAGATGAGCATTCACAACATGCAAATGTGACATGACTCGGCATTGTAAAACTAGGCCAGGGATGAGTGGTATTGAATACGTAAGTGCTCCTAGGCGGTGCATGAAGAAACATGTTTATAGCATACTAGCTAAAGAATAATATGAGAGGAAAAGAAAGAACCCTTAAACCACCCCACCCAAATTAATAGACTCATAGAAAAATATAAAAACTCTGAAACTTACGCAGTACGACGATGCAACTTAGATAGAAAAACGAGCGATTACTCTAAATAACACACAACATATACACGTGTAAGAAAAAACCCCCAAAAAATGTCAGACAATAACATATAAACAAGAAATAGAGAGGCAGTGCCCAGCCTTTAGAACCGGGGCGGTAGGTTAAAGAGTCTTTTATGGGCCCTACACACCCAGTGTCCCAACCTCCTTTACACATAATAGTTAGAGAATAAGATAGAGATTATAATACAAAAAGAACGGCAACTACCATACAGTGGTGCCCAACTAACAAGAAGGCAAAGATGAGATGGTGCATCACTATATCAGAGTAACATACCTTTGGCACATTAACGTTTTACTAGGAAATATATATATAGTATTACACAGATATGGTGGACAGAGGAAGAAAGCCCCAGGTGTCAGATTGCAGCTATAGTGGCCCACTGTTCATTCTTCAGGAAAGTTGTTGAGATACTAACTGCTGTGATCATCTCTGCCACATGTCTCCTCTGAGCTCTCCCTCTCAGTCAGTGAACCACTACAGTACAATTACAACACTGTTACTAATGCTCACATGCACCGCTGCAATGAATTATTCCCACATGGATTATCAAGCCTCGGCATGCATGTGCAGCGAGGGTTACGGTGCTTGGTTCACGTGTGTGTCTGTCCATCTGTTACCACGTTTTCTGCCACCACACGCAACGAGACAACAAAAGAGTGTTTACACTGGCTCTTTTTAAAATTTGGCGAATTTCGTAAAAGTACTGGGTTCGAGAGTTATGACGTGAAAAGCAAGTGAAAGAGCCAATATGCAAATTCTCACAGGCTTAACTCGATCTGATCCGTTTGCCCTGCATACCTTGGAGGGTATGACTCGTATGCTATCTAGTAGTGTAGCCAGCCCATGACAGACTCTCAGTGAGCTACCATGAAAATAGCACAGCCCATCAATTAGCAGTACCATGCATCCGTGTACTTAGGCATGAACGTTTCTAGTACACCGAGAGTTTGCACTTTAGTGATTCTGGGAGAAACAAATCGCTATATTGTACCTGCCCCTCCCAAGTATTGGGTGTGGCCTGATGGTTAAGGACCCACACCCATGACCATGAGGTCAGTGGTTCGATCCCCATCAGGCGCTCTTTTTATATTTATGTAATATGAGTGTTGATATAAGAGGAAAATTTTTTCATCAGCTCTCGTGGCCAGCCCAAGTGGCTAAGTGGTTAGAGACGTGGGGACTGTCACATAAGGTGCCCGGTTCGAATCCCAGACCCGCACTGAAACTGACAGGTGGTCCAGAGCATCCTTACCCACAAATCTACCACTGACCCCACGCCACCGCCACATACATCTCAAAGGACAGCGTACAGTTTGGCATTGCACTGCGTCCATAGACGTCTGTCTGGAGAGATGTAGGTGGCATTTTAATTTTTTTCAACCTCAGAATTTATGATTTTTGCCTATAATAATCCATGGAGAAGATGAAATAGAATAGCATGCAGTTTTCTTTTTTGCCCAAAACATGCAAGACATTCAGCTATCTTTTTTTAATGCATGGCCATTGCATATGTAGAACCCTCTCAACATAACCCTTTCGGATTGCCC